GGGGGGCTTCAGCCACCCCAAATTTCACCACAGCCACTCTGTAGCCCCCCCTTCTCAGCACCACCTCCTGCCCCAGCCCCACTCCCTCCCCAACTGCAGGAGGCATTTATTTGCCCCCCCAACGTACCTTCCCTTCCACCACAACAGACTTACCAGCTGCATGCAGCTCTCCAAGCTACCAGGCTGTGAGTCTCACCGCCTGCGTGCCGCGCAGTGGCTGCATGCATGCACAGGCATTTATCAGCCAAATTATTGGCCACAGCAGGTCAATTTGATACAATCAGTTTTCTGTATATCAGTGCTGACCTGATATATTGGATCAATGTATCGGTGCACTCTAAAAGAGGGCCCTTAACATGTCAGCACACACAGGTATTAAACTCTAAAACAGTATTTTACTTTCACTAAGATTCACTAACAACAGAAATTTTAAACTAGTTATGCGCTGAGTTACCACAAAAGATGAGAGCCATTCCAAAATATAAGGAAAGACGGGACTAAAAACTACTTACTTCTTGTCTCAGTTCTTCTGTTGGTAGGTGTTGCTAATTTATTTGTTTCAGGCTGAGATTTTGAGCTATTTCGAGATCCTGGTCTTTCTGGGCTATCAGGTTTTACATCATCCAAATTAAGTGGTACCCATTTTTGCTTGTTACCTTAAAAAGTAAAAACATTGTTCTCAATCTTAACTATAGTGCAGCTAAGATGATTCAACTATTTACAATATCCTGAAAAGGATTCTTTAAAGGAAGAATAGCTGTTAAACAGTTTTCCTAAAAAGTTTAATCAGTAGGGATTAGCATTAGTCATACATGCTGTTTAATCATATATGCTACCTTATAATAACATATAGAAGGTAATTGTAACTTTTCAGTTACAGTTTTAGAAGTTATCTTAACTAACTCTTGAATCTAGTAAATTAAGTGGGTTGGTGGGCTTTACCATTTTTTATAGTTATATCAGTGTTCCACAGTAATTTAACGTTTAGTACCAAGAAAGGTGGACCCAAAAGATGAAAATATTTAACAAAACAAAGATTTCAGGTCAATGTGACGGAAATTAATTTCCCTGACACCTTAAGGAGTTCTGGTAAGATATCTCACCTGACGATAAAGCTGACATATTCAACAATTTCCTTGCCTCCGTATTTCTGAGGAGGGACCTAGATATCTCCCCCACTGGCACCTCCGAGGGCCCTGTGGGTGGCACACCCAGGCCTACGGTTAATGAGGACCTTCTCAGGGAACTTCTGGAGGGACTAGATGTATTTAAATCCGCAGGTCCTGATGATCTCCACCCCAGAGTGCTGAAGGAACTAGCAGGGGTCATTGCGGGACCTCTGGCACAGCTCTATGAGCACTTATGGTGCTTGGGCAATGTGGTGGAGGACTGGAAAAGAGCCAGTGTGGTCCCCATTTTCAAAAAAAGGGAGGAAGGAGGACCCAGGAAACTATAGGCCCGTGAGTCTTACCTCGGGTCCTGGAGAAGCTTTTCAAAATAATTATCCTGGCACATGTCTAGGAAGGGCCAGCAGGGGAGGTTATGCTCAGGGGCAACCAGCATGGGTTCATTAGGGGCAGGTCTTGTCAAACCAACCTGGTGGCCTTCTATGACCAGGTCACCAAGTCCTTGGATGCGGGTGTCGCAGTGCATATAGTCTTTCTAGACTTCAGGAAGGCCTTTGACATGGTCTCTCACCCCATTCTCAGTAAGAAACTAGGAGACAGTGGTGTTGATGCCTACATGGTCAGATGGGTCACTAACTGGCTGGAGGGCCGCACCCAGAGGGTGGTGATGGATGGGTCTTATTTGACTTGGACGGATGTGGGCAGTGGGGTTCCCCAGGGCTCAGTCCTTGGGCCCGCACTATTCAACATCTTCATCAGTGACTTGGGCAAGGGGGTAGAAAGCACCCTGTTCAA